TTTCCATGTGTATGGCTTATCTATATGCTTATGCTTGCTCAATTGTGTATGCTTATCTACATGGTCAATACTGTTAACTACTAATAATGATGTGTTACATACTTTCTACCATCACTCATGGTTAGAATATAAAATTATAACCCTCAACCCTTACCACGATTTTAGACTTTTGGTGTAGTGGCATGGTATCAGCGCACCGGGGTTCGATCTTGCTGGCCACAAATTTCCAATCATATTTTAAAAAAATTGACACTGCTGCATTAGTCCAGGTTTCTACCCATAAAAGGGCATTCAACCATATATTAGAGTATAAAATTATAACCCTCAACCCTCACCACGACTTACGAATTTTGGTGCAGTGGCGAAGTTGGCATTTGACACGCATCAAATGAAAATTTAAATGTTGGTTAGTTCTCTTCTGCTTATTAATGGGGTTATTGCTGGGAAAGCTAGTCTGACTTGGAAGCTAAGCGGCACAGCCCCTTGCTTGCCACATAAGACAGAGAAAAGCCAGGAAGAGCAAGCTGTTATATGATTTAAATTTTGGTTGCTACAAATTTTATTTGCAAGAAATGATTATGAAGAAGCATTAAGTGGATTATATTTTCATGTTTTGTATATAGTACCATTTAAATTCATCTTCATTGCTGATAAATGAAATCCTTCATGGTTCAGTACCAAGGAGAACATGGATGGAAGCCATTGAACTATACTGGGTTGTGCGAAAAGATTCTAGCAAAAAGCCAAACTGTGGTAAGTAAATTTTGAATTCTTAAACTGTTAAACATGTAGGACCGAGTAATTTATGCTGTATTTTGAAGTTATTTGAATGCTATATTTTCCATGTACTTTATGAGCATAGTTGTAAAGATTTCTCTGTTTAAGTCCTATGCGCAAAACTTATCTTAAAATTGTGTAGGACTCTCCAAATGATATTCATACTACATTTCTTTTGTGTATGACTGATACAGACACATGCATATGTGTGACTAAAGGTGCATATATACGGATGGCTAGTTGTATGCTCATGTGTTCACTGCAACGTTTTGCATATTTGCATAGGTGAAGCGTAATTATTAAAGTCTTTGGTTTCTATGGACACATATTACTCAGTTCAAAATTTTTGGTTCTGTTAGTGATTCATGTAAGACTGGATCCTTTCCTTTAGATTTTAAATGCATGAATAGATGATTTGTAAATTGGAAAGCAGCTCTAATGGTTGCTAGTTATTGTCACTTGAGTTTTGTCATGAAGTTTTTATTAACATCCTAAAAGTTAAGACACCTTTACGAAAATAATAATTTAGGAGAAATATAGTACTCGCGCCTGTGTGTGGTGCGTATGTGTGTATATATACATAGAGTAATATTTATGAGGTGATATTTCATTTAGAAATTTGAGCTACAAAGAGATGACAGATCCTACTATTGTAAAAGTGGATGCCCCAAATTGATTTCCAACAGGACGGATTTGGCTAAAAGTCACTCCCAAAGGATCCTAGTCTACCTATATCTGTACACACGCAGATGTGGCTGTATTCACATTAAATAAAATCTTTTATCTTTAGCTTATTAAAATTTACTATCTATATGGTCGATCTCTCAATGAAAATCTGTGAAAGCTACTTTTATTGAAATCTTAATTAGTTCGAATAAATATATTCATATTCACAAAAATAGCCAATTCTAAACATTTTCTTTATTATTTATGTGTTTGTATAGATGGATAGATGGGTAGATATATAGATAGATAGATAGCTAGCTAGCTAGGAGGTTGGATGGAGGGGGACTGCCATTAGTATGTATTCTATATCTGAATCCACATCAACAATTTTCATATACTCATCTAACAAAGATTGGTGCTTGGGCTATTATTTATATTGCAGGCTGGCTTTTTCCTAGTTCAATACAGTCACTTTTGGCAGGAGCATCTTGATAAATTATTTGATCTCTTCTCCTCAGGAAAGCTTAAGGTATTTTATCTTTTTACGATCATTAAGTTAATTGTTCTTTGTCAGAACATTCTTTTGTTTCAGAACATATCAGTTTCCTCGTACATGCTGTAATAGTCTAAACAATTTAAGCAAGGTCTATAGGACTAAAACAGGTGGGCTCATTGAGCTACTTACATCATAGAGATATCTCTGCAACTCCAAATAACTCTGTTAGGTAAGCAGCACATGATGTTTATCATATTATCTGAGACTTCTGCACGGTAATCGTACTAGCAGTAGGTTGATCGTACTAAGATCTCTTTCGCATGCAAAAAGGCACAAGATAGCCTCAATAAGGTGATAGAAACCTGGATTGCAGTATATTGGCAGTCCATTAATCTTTTTTAATATCACCAACTGATTGCACTTTCAACTGTTTGTAGCTTATAGAAGTGTTACCTATAAAACATTTATGCACTTAATAAGGTGCATGCGTGTGAGTCTGGTTACTTAGTTGAAATATTCTTCAGCATAAGTGTCTAGGTTGGGTTAAAAGAATATCTAACTTTATTTTTTCTAATCACAGTTTTTGTGATATTAGTTGAAGCATGTTTTCGTAGGCCTACCTTTACTCTTTCTTGCTCCATTAATTACTATTTATCAACTTCATAATTTGTAATTATGCAACCTCCTACCTTTACTCTTTCTTGCTCCATTAATTACTATTTATCAACTTCATAATTTGTAATTATGCAACCTCCATGTCTTCAAACCAATTCTTGTTTGTGGACCTTTGGGATTCTTTTTCTTTGGTTGCCTATGTGATTTTCTAGTTGATCTAATCTTGAGAATAATTGCACTCTATTTCAAGACCTATACATAGTGTTCGAAGCTTTTTTCCTCTTGATGGTGATTAGTATTTTCTATTGGAATAGCATTTAAGAGTGGTTTTTCTAGGGTATGATTATTAGTGGCCAGTGTCTTAAAAAGCCTTCGCCTGGGCATACGCCAAGGCCTAGCTGGTACCTAGGCCACCCACCTAGTGCTTAGGCAGCATTGTTGAAAAAACCCGTTATATAATCAGTTATAACCTGTTTTGTAACCTAATGATGCCTTCTTGTTAGGTAACACACCCATTTAACGCTGAAACTGTTTAACTTAGAAAAAAACATGTTATATTGCGTTAAATGTGTGTTACATTATATAACTAGTTAACATGAGTTTTTTAGGTTAAATTGTATTTCTGATGAGGACGTGTGGATGCATCTCCACTGTTCAAATCATTTAAACCCTACCATTTTTAGTCCCGATCACCCTGTTCTCTTCCTGTGAATGTGCGATCTCTTCGCATCCTTCAACCCAAACCCTAGCTCCTTGCCTCCACTGAAACTCTTTCAGTTATTGACGGGTTCTGTGACTCTGGTGAGGTAAATTTTTTTTAGTTATGTATTGGGCATTTCGGTTCATATCCTTTAAATAAATAGTGATTCTGAAATTACCTTCCAAATTTTAATCTTTTATATTGTCAATTTGTCATAAATCATATCAAGCTTGTTGCTCCATTGTTTTGCCCTTCAATATAATTTTATAAGATGTGTCACAAAATTGGAGTACATAGATTAATTAGTGGGTTAATTGTGTTGGTGAGATAATTTCTTTCAGTTATTACTTGATTTTGATTAGGTTTCAGTTTCTAGTTTTTAGTTAATACTAGATTTTGTGAAATAAAGTTTGCATGCAATCTCTATATATGCAAAATTTCTTACTGTAGTTACATAATTATGTTTAGTTTGAGTGATGTAGTGAACTTGACTGAGAATTAGAATATTTTTGTGAAGTTAAGAACTCGAGAATTGAAAGTGTTGGGTTTATTTTAGACTTATTTTTATTGCCTTAAACTTGACGATATTAAAGTATTTGATCATTTGATGATGCTTTTTGGAATGGTTGTTAGTCATATGACTAACTTTTGTTAAGAAATGGTGATGCTATATTTTTATATTTGATAATTGTGATGTTATGTTTGAAAAGTTTGATGATTCTAAGTGTCAAAGTTGTTATGAATTGTAAGTATTTATAAAATATCTTAATAATATGACTTACATTATGCATTACGTCTTTGTCTTTTTTTCCCTTTTAACCCTTAACAGGAGGTTAAACGTGGGTGCATTCGGTCCAGATATGACTTGGATATGATGCTTACCATGTCCATATACGTTTAGTCATTTCGAATACGAATACGGATACACCTTGTTAAGGAAAATTCATATCCATATATGCTAAAATCGGATACGGATACGTATATAAATTATAAAAGTGGATATGCATGCGGATATAAAATGAATATGAGAAAACTAAATACTGTTGAAAAAATATAGTTCATGTCATACGAAAGAGTTTATTAATAAGTTCATTATATGTGAAAAGCTAAGATTAGATATCTTAATCATCAAAATTAACTTTACATCCATAATCCAAAGATTAAAACCATTATAACAATATGACTACTATGTATTCGAATATTTCGGATATGGTTTCAGATATTTCACTACAAAACCATATATGTAACCATATCCTATTGGTTATAAATTTGAGTAACTATATTCGTATCTGGATATTTCCTCGGATATGGATACGGTTTAGCACCCCTATATATAACCCATTTTTGTTATTTTCAACATTGGACAGTACATAGTCTTTCATAATAAGAAGTTAATGAAACAGAGAGTAGAAGAGTGCATGTGAGACTCCTCTCCTTTGGGTATAGCACTATTCCTAAATATTCTATTATTCAACTACTACTTAGCTACTACTCTGTACTAATTCTATTTCCAACTATTGAAACAAAGATCACTTATATGTTGATGAGGGAGTTTCTTCCTGAAGTCGACACTTTTCTGCCACACACCATTTCACAAAATAAAGGAAATACTGAGTTTCTGATTGTTTTAATCTAATTTTCCTTTTTTTGGATTTTCTGGTAGGTCGCCGTGGATCCGAAGAAATTCATTGGTGTCAACTCTGTAGCAGATGCAGTCGAATATCTGCATTCTGGTGCTAGCCTTGGCAAGGTAACTTACTAATTTCCTGCGTTGTATATGTTTATAAAGTTTATCGTCGTTCCTTTTATCATGAATTGGAATTAAAGATTACAACATAATATCGAAATTACAGGTAGTGGTATGTATGGATCCTGCATTCAGCCAGCAAACTTCAAGATTGTAAGTGATAGATCTCATCTATAGTGTTGGGATATGTAAGTGTCCTATAAAGTATGAACCAAATATTTATGGGATATTATTGATGCAAAACTTCTCATTATCAAGCAATTCCGTTGTTCCTTGTGAGCTGCCAAACAAGAAAGGTATTACAGAAATTTCATGAACAGGTGAAAAATAAATGAAGATATGGCAAAAAAAATTGGAAGTCGTATGACTTCGAAATATGTTAGGTTATGTAAATTGAGGTGTAAGTTCTCATCTTCTGTCTCTGTTTTCTATAATTTGGCAAGAGACCTGGAAAGATATTTGAAGATCTTGATTGCTCGTAATATGTGACGATAAAATTGAGGTCAAATCAAAATCTTTTGCATAAGTAGAATTACATCTTTCTGATTACAATTCAGAAGGACTCAGACTATATTGTCTAATAGTGGGAGGACATTTACTTCTCACAGGAGAATGAGACCAAATACACACTTGTGAAATTACATACAAGCCCCCGTCCTCAAGCTGTTGGCAATAACACAGAATTTGCAAATGAAACCGACCCGTTATTGGGTGCTCCCTTCAGCCCAAGAGTAGAGTCAATCAAATTATAAACCTCAACGTTCACAAAAGACTTCACCTTCTTCCCCCTTTTAAACCTACGCCCAATCCCTACAAATATACTCATAGAAAACAGTTCATTGTCATATCCATGAACTCCGGCGCACTTCACCCCCGAACTCCTATTGTGCACCACCCGATAACTGCTGCCGGAATCTGGTCACTCGCCAAGTAATGCAACCTATCTGGCAAGTCCTTAAGATATATTTTCAGTCCATCGTAACTTTACCGGAGCTCAGGCCGTCGTTCATTTTCCCTACACATCGCTGTTGAGCTGCAGTGGAAGTTAAAATGGCGGCAAGATGCCATTGATTCTGAACCCAACTCATCTGATTCTGAATCCACGGTGATAAATCCTCAAGATATACGTACTTTCCAACACATGTGCTGACCATGTGGTCGACATATACATTTTATATCCGCATGCATATCCGCATGCATATCCACGGTGATAAAGCTGCGACCATGTGTTAAAATGAATATGAGCCCAAAGGGATCTTCGATGGTGCAGGGAAGAAAGAGAGCAGAAGGCAACACTGTGAGGACAAGAGGAGAAGCTGTGACCGTGAAAGCAAAACGACGAAGATGAGTTCGTCGAGAGCCCTAGGGTTTTCTTTCTTTCTTTTGATCTGGTGTCTATCTGGTTCGAAAAGAGCCTCTATATCCAATAAAAGGGTCAAATGAGTTTCACTGAACCCAAACCTTTGAACCGATAAATGGGCTTATCGGTCGATTTTTCAAAAATAAAAAATCAGCCGATATGGTCGATATTTCGCCGATATATCTGATTTATCCCTGAAAATGACATGTGACTTAAAACTCCCTGATTCGTGTCGCTCGACCCCTCAATCCGCTATATCGGCCGACATGTCTGACATGTCGGTCGCTATTTAAAACACTAGTGGCAAGTTGATGAAGTGTTGTGATGATGCCTTGGTTTGGGCGGGGTTGAGGGGGGGCGGGCTGTGAAGAGGTTAGGTGGCTGATGGAGTAGTTGTGGCAAGGCGAGGGAGGGAAGACGAGGATGAGGCGAGGGGTCAGAGTGCCGCGAGCGACGAGGCCGTGGATGTTTGGGTGGCGGCTTTGTGCTGGTAGCCGAAGCGGGAAGATGTCGCAGAGATGAGGATGACGGTCAGGTGGTCGTGGTGCTTCTAACGGCGAGCGATGGTGCCATTGGTGTCAAAGGCGAGGGAGAGGAGGAGGGCGGTGATGAGGAGGGTGGTGGACCTGGTGGTGAGGGAAGGAGAGGATTTTGGTAGGTGTTTTCACTTTGTAAGTGGGAAGAAGGGGAGGGGAATGTGAGTTCATGTGTTTTTCACCAAAATAGGTTTTTTGGCTTGTTGTTGTAAATTAGTGTCATGACCTTAAATAAGGAGGAGACGCGTGTAGCTTTCCTATCAGAACACTTCTCTACGCGGGGAAACATCGGCCACATGAGCAGGAGTAATTACTAAAAGCTCTGGTTTCTTGCTCATGCTTGGATCAGAACGCCCCGCGCTGTGCAGGGCATTCTGATAGGATGTGCGCTGAGGAGATGCCTAGGGGTGGGCAATATGCCGTGCTGGCCGTGGGCCAGCCATACGAGCTCAGCTGGCAAGGCGAGCTAGCTCCATGACTCATAGCTCACTTGTTCTCGGGCCTAGAGCTCAGCCTAGCCTTCTCGTGGACCTGAGAACATGCGGTACGAGCCATAACACGGGTCGGTCCACTTGCACACTTAATTATTTTGTTGTTATTTTTTAATATTTAATTATTTTTAATAGGTTTTTTCAATGTTGTTTAGCACTTAAGAATTATATGTAAATAGCAAACTAACAATGACATGATTACAAAAAATTAAAAAAAAATTATTACGTAAAATTGTATATTTGCATACATTTACAGAGAGAACTATCGCAAACACAGAGATTTAATGCACTTCAGAGCATGTTTTACATCAATGAGTAGCATAATAATTTTCCACTAGTTAAAAAAAATACAAGAATGAAAGAAATTATAATAGATTTTAAAGAAAAAAGATATTACTACTAACTAAATGAGAGCTCATAGACCGGGACAAGCGAGCCAACTCACTCATATGTAGACACAGCCCGCTCGCTAGGCATTGTGGGCCGAGCGGGTTATTGGCTCACATTTGGCTTGAGTTGGCCTAGCATGGTCCTGCAACACTCTACTGTAGCAGGCCGAATCGGGCCTATCTCGAGTCGAGCCCAGTCGAGCCGAGCCTAGTCGAGCCGTGCTCAAGAGCGAGCGGACTCGTGCGCTAGCCCAACCTAGTTCCTACCCCTAGAGAGGCCTTGAGTAGGGGTGGGCATTAGTCGGGTTGGTTCTGGTCTGTGACCCGACTGCTGGGTTCAAGGTCAGGCTGGGTCCAACTTGAGCCTGCCTGGGTCAGAATGAGCCGAGCCTATTTCTCTGATCCCGAGTGTAGGGCTAGACTCAGCTCGGCACACGACCCGCCTAGGGCGTGGCGGGTCGCACTCAGCCCACGGCCTAAGGGTCGTAGGTCGGCCCCTGGGATTTTTAGTTTTTTTTAATTTTTTTATTTTTAATTTCTAAACTATATTAACTTTGTATTAGTATCTATTAAATTATATTTAAAATTTTTTATTTTACTCTTTATTTAAAATGATATATATATATACACATACACATTGTACAAAGATAAACATCACACAGAAAACATCATAAACACAAAGTTATACATGGTTCGGACTTTGAAAGAAGATTTATATCCATGAGAAGTTAATAACTATCCTTGAATTTAAATTTAAATTACAAATACAAGAGGAAAAAAAGAAAACAATGTTAATTAAAAATTAAAACTAAAAACTAACAATTAAAATTTTAGGTCTGGTCGATGGTGGGTAGGGTTAAGATGGGGAGGACATATTTCTCTAATTCAGCGTCTGGAGCAGGACCCAGCCCGACTTGTCACCCGCGTATATCACGGGCTGGGTCAGCCCCGACCCACTACGAGCCAGGACGGATCATGACCCATGACGGCCTAAACCAGGATAGCCTACGTGTCAACCTCGCCCGTGCCCAACCCTATCCCTGAGGGTGGTTGGTGCAGCTAATAGTGCATACAATAGTTTTGGTCTTTAGTTATAAGTTTTTTTTTGTGACAAGGAAAACCTGGTCAGCCACTCAATCAAATTGTAAGTTGTAACTAAATGGTGGTTCTTTTGAGCTGGAAAGTTGTTCTGGACTTCTACTTGGGATAACGTGTAATTTAACAAGATAGTGTATGCTTGCAAGTGTCAGCTCTATAACGTTGCAACTGCGGCTTTACTTCCAAATCTACAAAATTATTTTTGGCATTTGAAAGTCATTATGCAATTGTAGTGGCAACTGTATTTTAGTTATAATAAAATAAATAAGGGGTTTTATTTTAGATATTAGTCCTTTAGATCTTTAATAATTTTATATTAGTCCCTCAAATCTTAGAAATTGCATATTAATTCTTTAAATCTTTTAGGGTCTTGCAAAATGGTCTCTTTGTTAGTTTTTCAGTTTAAAAACCTAACTAAGGTAAGGTTGACTCCTAACTCAATATCTACAATCATCAAACTATTTATTTCTCTAATGTTTCAAACCATTGTGAACTCAACTTCTGGTTAAGATTCTTTTGTAACTATTGGAGAATAAGAACTCAAATGGTTTAATTTTTTTAAGTGAGTATTGTGTTTGAACCTGTTGATGCTCAGGGACTCAGCAGCGGGATTAAAAGATAATCTCGAATCAGCGATGGGGCTGAGGATCTCTATGCAAGACATAGGGGCCCCCTCACCTTCCTTAGCGGTTGATCCTCTTGCATAACTATTGAGGCTCCTGCAAAACCGCAATTCGTTAGAGGATCGGAGTTGGATTCTCCGGTGATTCCTCTGACGATCAAGTCAGTATAGAGCTTGAGTAGGGAATAAATGAACTAAGTGAATTCTGTGTGTGTGTGTGTGTGTGTGTGTATTATTCAGTAGTAGGTCACCCTACTTAGCCAGAAAAAATGGCGTTATTTAATCAGAGATGGCTTACCTCTGGTCAGTAGGCGAGGAGACTACATATATACCCAGCTGAGAGGGGTACATAAGTAATTTTGGCTGAGTCCATGCATACTGCTGGGTCGACAAATAGTTTACAAGTGTCATCTGCAGATGAGATGAGTCATTGCTGAGTTTGATGCGGTGGTGATTGAAAGGGCATGATGCTAATGAAGGGTGATGAATCATGGAGACATGTGGCATGATATGTGATGTTGATGGTCAGCTGTTGACAAAGATTTAGAGGACAAACCACCTCTTGACTTGCTTTGCGAGTGGGACGATAAATATCGCCTTTTTAGTCGGCCTTAAAAGTTGTCAACCTAGCCTTGTAGAGCAGATGCGGGGGGTCGACTCAGAAGGTGAGTCCGAGTGAGAATGTCCCTCGACTCGGCCCAACTTGGGAAGGGACAAGTGTCCATGCCCGTCTGACTTGTCTCTTGACTGGGGGGCTAATGTGATGATTAGTGTAAATACGGGGCACGTGTTGACTCCAGAGGGAGGATTAGCACTTAGGTTATAAGATGACATAACACTGACCCCTTTTGCTTGAACTCGGGGTAGTCGAGTCCGAGTGAAATAAAATTGCTGCTG